AGCTCCCTCCATTCACTAGCCTGTCTCAATGTGGAGAAAGAACTGGGTCTCTTTCTGATGTCATTAGGTGTTCCTTTTCTAGGTGCTTCAAGATTCACAAACAGGAGGCCTTCATGGTGACACATGCTTCTTGTTCACAATTACTCCTTCTGTCACAGAACTACAGGATCTTTCAGGTTTTTACCACATTGTCTGTGCCATGGCTCTGACCAATGTTTATTCCCTCTACTGAAAGATCATGTTTATCAGGCTTCAGATGCTCCTTGTAATTATTCTGTTCTTACACCTAAGTGTTATCGTAGGCTGTAGAGGAACTTGATATTTTTCAATGTGGTTGATATAGATTTGATCAGGAAATTCAGCACACATGCTAATGGCATCATTGCTGTCTTCTTGTGTTCAGTTCAGACCTGTTTGCTGCTGTGCACACACTCCACTGTAAGGAGAATTCATGAGTATAGATGCTTCCATGGGATTACTCCAGTCACAAAGACATGGAGTTATGCTGTTCAAAAGACATGTGACTTCTCCATCTGACTTATCACATAATAATCTTACTCCACAGAGGTCAGAGGTCACACTTTCTCCCCTTTCTCACTGGTATCTCTTCTCTTCACTTTAAGACATGCAGCTCCCTTTGCCCTTGATAAGCTTTCATTGGCTCTAACACACTTAAAACATTTTGAAGGCATTGATTAAAGTAAACTGAACAAGTGAAAATAATATTTCTTTATAGTTTTCAGGGTACACTTAAGAAAGACGATTACATTTTTTAAAAACAGTTCCATGTGTTTTACACAATGCTTTCTCTCATGCATCCCATTTCTATGAAAACACAGGGCATTTTCATGATCCCAGTAGTCTTCTCACACTGTCTTGTTCAGGTCACAATAATTAGGAAGCAACACAGATGTGTGTTTTCTGCTGCAGAACAGGCTGTGAATGCATTTTCCTCTGCAGGAACCCACATGAGCCCATTGTGAACAGTTATTGTGCTCATCCTAAACTTTGGGCTCTATCCATAGTGTTGTCTGCTTACATTTGTCTTTTCTGTAATACATTCGGTGTGGTTTTATGAAAAACCTACTGTGAGTTCTGTCAATCAATGCTGTAACTGCCTATGTTGAGGGGACATAGGTTGATATGTCATTATGTTTATACATATTCTAAGTAAATGTTTGTTTAGATGACTTTGTCATCTCTGTTTTCTCAAGCTTCAAGCTCCTCCCTTCTAGTTATTTGTAAACGCATAAGAGATTGTTGTGGAATGTAGCCATGTCACTATGCAGTCCTAGAACTTACATTTCTGTCTAGATGGGCCTGGTTCCCATTGCCTTATTTCCTTTAACACTTCTTCACCTTTGACATTTATCATGTTTATCAATTATTATTCTATTAGGATAGAAATAAGAGAAAACAGTGGTATCTGTCATTTTGTGCCTGGCTTAAGCTTGTTTATCTCATCATATTAATCTCTACTTCTCTCCACTTCTCTGTACACAAAAGGGGATTTTATTTTGTGGTTAAATAATGTTATGTTGCGTGTGTGTGCTTGTGCATGTGCGCGTGCACACACACACACACACACACACACACACACACACACACACACAACCTTTTCTTTGTGCCCTCATGCCCTGATGGATACTTATGCTTATTCTGTTTATTTGTTATTGTGACCACTTCTCCACAACGGAGTATTGATAACTCTCTAGTGTGCTGACTTCATTTCTTTGGGATGTATATCCTGAAATGGAATTCTGGCCTGTATGGAAGGTTTAATGCTAGTTTATTGAGGGACTTTCTATAGTTTTCTAATGGCTGTACTAATTTATATCAGTGTAAGCGTTCCCTTTTCTCTGATATTTTACTGGCATTTGTTGTCATTGTATTTTCCTAATGGTCATTGTGCTTGGAAAGATTATATCTTATTGTTGTTTGATTAGCATTCCCCTAATGGCTGTTGAACTTGACTATTTTCATATATTTTGTAACAGTGTGTAGTTTTTAGAAATATATAATCATATTATTTGTTCACTTATTAAGTTGGATTGCTTATCAGATTTTTTACTTTGAAGTCTTTATCCTGGATAATAATCTCTGGTCAGATGGCTATTTATATTTGTTAATTTCCATTTGCTGTGATGACATTTCTCAGTGTGATATGATCTTACTTGCCTATTTTCTTGGTTTTGTTGTGTGTGCTGTGAGAGTATCATCTGAAAGACTCAGATGATTTGAAATGTTTCTTCTTCTCTTTCAGGCATTAGATTTTATCTTTGATCCATTTTGGATTGATTTTTTATAGAGAAATAAAAAGATCTTATTTCATTCTTTGGCATGTGATCATCCAGTTTCACCAGCACACATATTAAAGAACTTGTCTTTGCCTTGTTCTTGGTACCTATGCAAAAAACAGGCTGGCGGTATGTTTCTGTGTTCATTTCTTGTATATCTGATCTTTCCCATTGTCTTCTGTCTCTTTTTATGCTGAGATCATGTCCTGACCTCCACCATGGTGTGTGACTTGAAACCATACAAAGAGATGATCACACATTTTTCTTTTGCTTAAGACTGCTGTGTTAAGTCCTGACTTCTGGATCTTTTGTATTTCCATACAAATTTTAGAATATCTTTTTTCTGGTGTTGTAAAGATTATTGCACTGAATCTAAAATTAATTTCGGATAACACATATATTTTAATAATATTAATTCTTCCTATTCATTGTCATGGAGGTTATACTAGTGTATGTGTGAGGGACTCAACTTCCTTCCTTTTTTCTTCTTTTTTTTTTCTGAGACAGGGTTACTCTGTGGATTCCTGGCTATCCTGAACTCACTCCATAGACCAGGCTGGACTCAAACTCATAGAGAGCCTCCTGCCTCTGACTTCCGAGTGCTGGGATTAAAGGCATGGCCACCACTGCCCTGCATGTTTTGTAACTTTCATGAAATAAGTTGCTCACATCCTTAGCTAAATCTATTCCTACTCTACTAGGGTTTTTCTTAACTATTACAAAAAAAATTGCTTTGTAATTTCTTTACTAGCAAGAACATTTATTGGTGTGTGAAATGTGACTCTTGTGCTGATCTTGTGTCCTTTGCCACAGACATGTTTCCACTTTCTGCAGTAATTTTGGGGCATGTTTATTTTTGCCCATACCACATACTATGTTTATGTGTTTATGTTCAAGACCATCATTATCAGTGTCTTCTGGGCTGTGTCATTTTCCTCTGCTGTGCTTAAATTATACTTTACTGTTACATGGTCTTTCCCTGTTTTCAGTAACTCACACTGGTCTCATAAAATGAATAGGAAAAGGGTTTTTCTACTGTTTAAACCTTAGTGAAACTTGGAACTAAGCGGAGCTACATGGCCCTAGGCTGTTTCATTGTCATATAATTCTCCAATAAATGTTTCCTAAATCTCCCCAGTACAACCACCGGGTGCATTTCTAAAATAACAATTTCTTACAGATACAAATGGTTTTGATTTCCTGTTGTTTATTCCTGTAGTGATTGTTTTCAATTAATTTGTGCTATTTTTGTGTTTCCAATTATAATTTATACATTTTTCAAAAGCTTCACTTTTAATCTCTTGAAACCCTACTGGATATTTAAACTCTTTCCTCTAGCACCACTGTATTCAGTGAGCCAAGAAACAGCTTCACTGACTAATATGCCATGGATGTGTTGTCATAAAGAACAATATTCTCTTACCCTGGGCACTGAAGGAGAAGTGAAAGGAAAGAATATTTCCAAATAAGTAGCACTGCATAAAATTGCCATATAGAGACTTATATAGGTGTATAGTGTGTTCACATATGAACTAAATGAGGGAATCTATAGAAAAGGCAACTGGATTACGTCAGATGTATCTTCTGTGTCTAGTAATAATGCTTGATTAGCTCAAACACTTGGGAGAGTCATAGAGGGAAAAACTGGTAATGTTAGAAATGACAAGAAGTAAGAAATTGGAAACAAGAGATATAAAATGGGAAAGATATAGTTGCAGGCTTTGAGGACTGGTTGGATGAGATGGGTAAGAGGATGCAAAAAAAATCATTCCTGGCTTATAGAACAGAGTCTATTAAGGATCTATCAATGGCATAGGCTTGGTGTAAGACAATGAGTCAGAGAGATAGAGCTGTACTCAATAGAATAAGCAACTGGAAACACTAGGTAGATAAGGGTGAACTTCCATGTAAGGCCATTATTACCACAGGATACACTGTGGAGAGTGGCAATGAATTCAGCTATTGGATTGATGGTTTTGACATGACTGTGGTTAGTGGAGACATAAAAGCCATAGAATTACTTTGTATGTAAGGGACTGAGTTTTGCTATATGATCTCTAGGGCAATAGATTTGAGATGGTTTAGAGTCAGGACATTATTGACAATAAGATAAGTCATAGATCACCGTAACTAAAATTCAGAAAATAATGGTTACTTGGCTATGGGGAATGACAGGTATAATGTTGACATGTGTGATAGAGCAACCACTCCAAATACCAGGGAAGACAATGTGACTAAGAAGTCAGAAGGCCAGGTGACAAAGTAATGAATAAGAACCATCTCAGTATGTATCCATTCAAAAGATGCCCTCTTGTGCAGAATACCTGCTATGTAGGTGAGGGTTATAGCTGTGATTAGGTCTACATCAGTATCTCCAAGCACTGTCAGAAGAGCATGGTGTTTGGTGATGATAGAAAAGTAAAGCATATGCAGGTCCTGAATGATGTTCCACTCAATCCACATGTTCAAGAAGACAAGAAAGGAAAAGATGTCCCTCTTCATTCAAATCAGTAGGGAGAGTTTCTAGGTTGAATATAAAAAGCAAGTGAAATACATGCTATTTGCAAATGGTATGGTACAGATGATAAGGGACATTCACTCCATCTTATACTGACAGCAGAGAGTTTTAAGATGATCAAGTTTGGAAGCCAGACTTGAAAGTGGTAAATTGTAATATTTTCTCAGAAGATGACAGACACAGCAATGAACCCAATACTCTCCATCATGATGTTGACTCCCAACCAGACAATGGTGACAGAGTTTTTGCTGGAAGGATTCTCAGAGCACCCTAGTCTACGATTTCTCCTGATTGGCTTCTTCCTAACCCTCTACGCAATTGCTCTAATGGGCAACACTGTGATCATTGCTTTGGTCACCTCCAGCACTGGGCTCCACAGTCCCATGTACTTTTTCCTGTGCAACCTGGCCACCATGGATATTGTCTGCACCTCCTCTGTGCTGCCCAAGGCCCTGCTTGGCTTAGTGTATAAAGAGAACACCATCTCCTTCAAGGGGTGCATGGCACAGCTCTTCTTCCTTGTCTGGTCATTGTCCTCTGAGCTGCTGCTGCTCACAGTCATGGCGTATGACCGCTATGTGGCCATTTGCTTTCCGCTGCACTACAGCTCTAGGATGAGCCCATACCTGTGTGGGGTCCTGGCTTTGGGTGTGTGGTCCATCTGTGCTCTGAATGCATCTATCAACACTGGTCTTATGACTCGACTGTCGTTCTGTGGCCCCAAGGTCATCACCCACTTCTTCTGTGAGATTCCCCCACTCCTCCTGCTCTCCTGCAGCCCCACATATGTGAATAGCATTATGACTCTTATGGCAGATGCCTTCTATGGAGGCATTAACTTCTTCCTCACCCTACTCTCCTATGGATGCATCATTGCCAGCATACTGCGCATGCGTTCTGCTGAGGGCAAGAAGAAGGCCTTTTCTACCTGCTCATCCCACCTCATCGTGGTCTGTGTGTACTACTCATCTGTGTTCTGTGCCTATATCAGTCCTGCTTCCAGCTACAGTCCAGAAAGAAGCAAAGTGACTTCGGTGCTGTACTCAGTCCTCAGCCCAACCCTGAACCCGCTCATCTACACCCTGAGGAACAAGGATGTCAAGCTTGCCCTGGGGAGACTCTTGCCCTCTTTCTCTCATTAGGTGAGATGGGCAGGCTGTTCCTACACATGCTTTTCATGGAGGTGGAATGTACCTGTTGCTGTTTTAGAAAACCATTCTCTGCTGCAAGGACTGGGCAATCCACATATTGTAACCTCAAAAACAACAAGATTCTCACAGGCAATGTAAACAAAATAGTCAAGCTTTTTTTCTTGACAAATATAAACCATTCCTAAAGTAATTAAAGTTTATCTAAATGGAAATTGCACATTCCTGGACTGGAAGATTTTCAGTAGTTGATAATGGTGACACTAACAAAACAAAGACCTTTCATCCAGTGCCACCCTTTAAACATCACAGGGCTTTGTTTCAGAATTATGGCTAAGAATCCAAAATTTCATAAAGAAACTTGTGGGGCCAGAATGGCCATCTTGTCTTAGGATGCCCAACACTGAGTGACACAGGATTTCCATTTCACAGCTTCTCTCTGAGCTGTGCTAGTGGCACTAGCCTGGGGGGGGGCAATTGGTAGAGCAGAGATAAAGTTTAAGTTTCAAACGTGAACTCAGGTACATTCTCCTTCCTTAGTTTTCATGATGATTAGACAATTGAACTGACGGGAAAGATTATTTTCAATAGTTTTGTGAGAATTAGATGAATGTCTATGTACAAAGGGTGAATTTGAGTGCTTCCTGCACACCATTAATAAAAATAAACAAAAAAAATAGATCATAGGCAAAAATTCAGAGCTAAGCTCTTATTTTCATTCAACATATGTTGATCACAGATTTTCCCTTTTCTCAACCTCTCCCAGAGCTTCGCAACCTCCCTACTTACCCATATTCTCTCCTTCTGTCTGGTCTGTCTTTCAAACAAACAAAATTTGAAAATCAGAATAAACAAATGCCAATAAAGTGTTTAAAATAGCACAGACACACAGACACAGACACACACACACACACACACACACACAAATTGTGTTGACCATTTGATCCTGATTAAATCTCTTAAAACTCATTGAATACAGAAAAGAGGACAGGAAGAGGAAGGAGAAGTACATCTGTGGCCCTGATAAGATAATGTAGGAAGTCACATCAGTGCAGAAAGGGCAGCATCTGCAGCAACTAATGCTAAAAGAAAACATTTCTGTATCATTTTCAGACTAAACACATTATCCATCAACTTCCTTCCTGGAACCTTCTTATATGTTCGACCACACTAGGACTTGTGATTAAAATCAGATACATTATATTAATTAGGTTTTCATCCCTGTGACAAAATATTTTCCCAAAACATTTATTTTGTCTTGTGGCTTCAGTGGCATCCAAAATGTCTATAGCCTTGTATGGGAGTCCAGAAGATCTACAGTGGGCTGAATATAGGTGTTGATCACTGTGGAGTGATAAGGGAGACCAGCACCAGGTGGGCAGAACAGGTGGAAAAGGCACACTTCTTGCTCTCTGCAGAGTTAATCAGCAGGATGCTAGTGATGCTGAAGCCATAGGGCAGCTTACTAACAATAGGAATAAAATCAGCACCTTTACCTAGGAACCCTTTGCAGGAGCCTGCCTCCATTTCCTAGAGACTCTGAAGATCTTTGAGGGAGACCCAACCTTTGTTTCACATCCTGTTGGTTTGTGTCAGCCTCCAATACCCAGAGGCACTCTGCACCTACAAACCCACTGGCCACACTGGCCTGTGAATCAGATATATGATCTTCACATTTCTTCCTGCCCTCCATTACAAATTACCCAGTCTCATAAATGCCTAGTAGCAAACCACTGTACAATAGTTCCATCTTCCCTCTCAAACTCAACTCCCTGGGAACTGCAGCAAATGTCGAAGCAGATCCTCTAGACCATCCCAATTCCTTCCTCTCGGCCCCCAATACCTATAAACATGACCCCCAGTGTTCATGCCTGGTGGCACTCCAAAACACTACCTATCAGGCAACCCAGAGCCACCACATATTCCTGAGTCTCAGAAGGACTGCATTAACAAGGAACAGAACACCCAACTAATAAATACAAGACAAGATATAAACAGCTAGGGTCACAATGATCCCAAACACAGATGTCTAGACACTAGCACAATAATACAATCATTAATGCCAAAGACAATATGTCTCCACCAGAACCCAGAAACCTTAATTAGACCCTGAGAAATGCAATATAGCTGTAGCAGAAGATGTGGGCACCAAAACAGCTATTATGAATATATTCAGAGATCTTAAAGAGAATAGGAAATAAATACCTTGATAAAATCTGGATGATTTTGTTTTGTTTTTTGTTTTGTTTTGTATTTGTTTTTTGAGACAGGGTTTATTTGTGTAACACTCCTGGTTATCCTGAAACTCACTTTGTAGACCAGGCTGGCTTCGAACTCACTGAGATCCACCTGCCTCTGCCCCCTGAGTGCTGGGGTTAAAGGTGCACCACCACCACCTGGCTTGTGAAAATACAACTAACCAGTGGAATGAAGTTCAGGACAAGAAATAGAATCACTAAAGAAAACTCAAAATGAGGTAAACTGAAAATAAAAGATTTGGCAAGTCAAAAAATAAGCAAATAAACAAACAAAGCCTCCCCAAAAGTAAGCCTCACCAACAAGTACAAGATATGGAAGAGAGAATCTGAGGCATTGAAGACAAGATAGAAGAAATGGACACCTCATTCAAAGAAAATATTGAATGCAGAAAAAAAACATTCAAACATGACATATCCAGGTAATCCAGGATGCTATGAAATGAGTAAATATATGAAGAATAAGAATAGAGAAAGGAGAAGTCCAAGTCAAAGGCACAGAAAATATTTTCAACAAAATCATACAAGAAAATTTCCCTAACCTGAAGAAATGCCAATCAATGTACAAGAAACATACATAACATCAAATAGACTGGACCAGAAAAGAAATTCCCCATTACTCATAATGAACAAAACACTAGATGTACAAAACGAATAAATAATACTAAAAGCTTTGAAGGTAAAAGATCAAGTAACATATAAACTCAGATGCACCAAAATAACACCTGATTTCTAATGGAGACTCTAAAAGCCAGAAAGGCCTGGACAGATTTTGTACAAACTCTGAGATTATCACAAATGCCATCACATACTACTACACACAACAAAACTTTCAATCACAATTCATGGGGAAAAAAAGGCATTTCATGATTATGTGTGTGTGTGTGTGTGTGTGTGTGTGTGTGTGTGTGATCTATGTACCAATCCAGCTATATAGAACACAATAGTAGGAAAACTTCAGCCTGAATATATTAACCACACTCAAAAAAAACTAAAAAATTAAAAGTTAGGAGCAATCTATAACATACCAACAAAAAACAGGAAATAAACAGTGCTCATTCATAACTCTCAACATTATACCACCCTAAGACACAATTAACATATTAGATTAAAAAACAGGATCTATCTATTTGCTGTATCAAAGAAACACCTCATTAACAAGGATAAACATCATATCAGGGTAAAAGGATAGAAAAAGACATTCCAAGCAATCGGACCCAAGAAGCAAACCAGACAAATTTCAAACCAAAACTAATCATAAAAAAATAGGGAAAGATACTAATACTCGTCACATGGAAAATCCACCAACAGGTCATTGAAATCTTAAATATTTATACACAAAAAACAATGGCATCCAAGTTTATAAAGATAACACTACTACAGCTAAAATCCTATATTGAGCCTTACATGCCTGTAATGGGCAGATCCAATACCCCACTCTCTCTAAAAGACTGGTCATCCAAACCAAAACTGAACAGAGAAATTCTGTTGAAAAATGGTGCCTTCAATCAACTCGGCCTAGCAGATTTTACAGAACATTTCATCCAAACATAAAAGAATATGCTCTCTTTTCTCAGAAGCTCATGGAACTTTCTGTAAAAATGACCACATACTAAGACACAAAGCAAATCTCAAGTACAAGAAAACTGAAATAACCCTTATATCTTTTCTATCCACCCCAGATTAAAGCAGAATATCAACAGCATCAGAAACAACACAGAGCTTACAAATCCATGGAAACTGAACAACTCACTACTGAATGAAAAGTGGATCAAGGCAGAGGTTAACAGAATTTTACATTACAACTTTATGAAAATGAAAGCACAACATACCCAAACTCATGGAGCATAAAGAAAGCAGTAGTAACATGCAAGTCCATACCAAATACATTTAAAAAAAAAACTCAAGAGATCCAATATTAGTAACCTAAATCACATAAAGAACCAACAAAGAAAGAGAATTACAGACCAATTTGTCTTAATTATGTAGATGAAAGGTTTTACAATACATTAGTTGCAAACTGACTGGAAAATGGGTGGGATTGGGGTGCATGATATGAAATTCTCAAAGACTCAATTTAAAAAATGTTTAAAAAATACTTGCAAACTGAGTCTAAGAACACATCTAAAAGATCATCCACCATGTTCAAGTAGCCTTCATCCTAGAGAAGCAAGGATATTTCCACATGTATAAATAAATAAAATATATCATATAAAAATACTGATAAACAAAAACCACAAGATCTTCTCATTAAATGCATAAAAACCTTTTTAAAAAAATCCAACATCCCCTGGGCTATGGTGTCATCTGGGCTTGAGTTGCTGCCAAGGGTCATGTCTGGGTCCATGGTTTTATGGCAGCCAAGATCTGAGCTGATGTACATGTCTCCTGTCACTAAGGAGGGTCATAGAGATTATCTAGGTCTAGTCACCCACTTGAGACCACCTCAGTATCCGAGGACCATGCCACTGCAGGGGCCACACTGATCTGTGAGCCTATGATGTCACCTGGGACCATAGAGATGTTTGGAGTGATGTCCATGGTTCCTGTTAACACTGAGAACTCTGAAGATGCCCAGAGTCTGGTCAGACACCTGGAGCCACGTTGTTGTCCAAGAGGAGGGTCTCACTCAATCTCTTGGGAGCATGGAGCATAAACAGCCTTTCAATAGCTTACATCTCCCTTGGGCAGAATGATGAACACAGCGGGTCTCCTGTGTTCAGATTCTGAGAAGTCCCC